CAATAATGGCTATAAGTAGCAGCTACAATAGTTTTCCTTTCAGCAAACAGTAAATGTACCACTGAACATTTTCACAGTGTAAAATCTTTCTCCAGCAGCCAGACAGACAGTATGTTAAACTTTGGTTCAATTTGAGTTCACTTTCATTATTCTCCAGTCTCTTTGGAGTGCAGTACAGTCAGTGAACCTCTCTCTCCACCTACTGTATCTCTGGATATACTGTAGTCCCTGGGGGGTTGCAGTATATTCTGAGTGTTATGCTTGAAAAGAAAGAAGCATAATTCAGTCTTGGCACTGCTGATCCTTTAGAGATGCGCAGCAACGACAAATAAAGCAGACACTGGATTAGAACTGTTTACATCAGGAAAGGCTGAAGGTGGAGGAAAGCTGAAGTGTTGGTAAGAGCTGACGGTTATTGTATTCCCACAGAGCTTGAACCCCAACCTGCCGTACCAAAGTCAGTGGTGTTAACCACTGAGCTATGCCACCTGTTCAAAAAAGACACACATTTAGAACTTTTACTGGACTCTGCTATTAGTTAATGCAGAAAAGGGGGTGAGCAAGGAAAAGGGGGAGCTTGGTTTGGCCCACGCTGGATATTGACTGCACCCTGACAGAGAATCGAACCCTGACCTTGAGTAGAAAACACCGGAGGTCTGTGCTGCTTTTGGATGTTGTAATGAAAGAAACTGCAAAACCACGCAACAGGAAATAATGCAGTGAAAATGGGGTCCGACCACCTCCCAAAAAATGTGCCTTATATTGTATATCATAAAAATGAGGTCCGACCCTCTGCTGAAAAGTATGCCTTACTACAGTAATGTAATAAGGCACATGTCCCATGTATGTAGGACATCTGAAGAAAGCGCGGGTTCATGTAAAAAATAATCCAGAAAAATAGCTTGCGTAGAACTGTGACCTGGAACTGAACTTAGATCCCAGTACCTCCAGAGGAAATTCAGATAGAATAACTACAGTATGTTCCACAATGGGTTCATGTTCCCCAGACACAGGTCCTTTGGTGGAAATAGGGTTTTTGTGTGCCAAGGTTGCTATACTGCACAAACTTACTTTGCAGCCATGAGCTAAACGGTTTACTGAGATTCTATTGAAATCACTTGATTTGGTCCAAACTTTTGCTACTGTAGATGACAGTGTTACTACTTAAATTTTACAGTTACAGTATATTAAAGGAACAAGTGCAATACAGGTGAAAACACAGGTTAAATATTCAGGCCAAGCACTAATTCAGAAACAACAAATCAAAGCTGCAGCTGTTCAATATTTATCTTTAATTCTGCACAATCTTTTCAATTATCAAAATATCAGAAAGGATATTTAAGGCTGTAGATGCACTTAAATGATACAAAAATCTGGGAAATGAAGGAATTAAGTTAGTATACTAAAATACAAAATATAAAATGTCATAATTTTACCTTATCAAATTTTGTGTATTATTTACAATGTCAATAAAACACCTCAAGAATACAGTTCAGGATTGTGCCTTTAAGAAAGTTTTATAAATAAGTTTAGATATGAATAAAGTAGTCTTGTTTCACATTTAAACTATTTTTCACTCTCCCATTTGATTTTCTTGTTAAAATGCTGTTTTTTTTTAAGAAAAAATAAAAAAAAACCAAAACAAACAAACAAAAAAAACCTGCTAAATTAATAGATGTTTATCAAGCGTTCAAGGAAAAGTTAAGCTTTGACTCATCAAATTAAAAATATTCATTAGAGCCTTCAAGCAGACCAGCTTTCATATATGTGAACAATTCTAAAAACATTTCTTTTCTTGAAATGTCTGAGCTTCTCTGGAAAAAAAAATTAAAAAACATCTGCATTTCATTTACTTGTGAATGACAGCCCTGTCAGTAAACTCCAGAACCAAATTTATATGTCCATCACAGCCAGACAGTCATTAGCATTGTCTTTGTTATTCTACATAAAATCAAATAAAAGATCCTCGTGGTGGATGATGATGTACATAACCGAGATAACTACTCTACGTGTCATACACGTTGTGTATGTCATCACTTTTGCTCATTCCATGTGGATGAAGATTAAAGGAGGAGCAAAAGATCTAGGCTTATAATAAAATACATATGATCAATCATTTGTATTTCTGAAGTTAAGCTTGAAAAAGGACACGGGTGGTTGGGAACACTAGTGCTCTGTTACATGAAAAATACGACATACTGTACTGGCTGATGACACTTCTCTGAATCAAATGAAACCGTGCAAACATGAGTCAGCGCTATATGTGACACATGATCCAATTATTTCCATCAATCCAAAAATGTCTGAGCTGGGGAAGCAGGCTGAGGCCTCGCAGCTCGACGGGTTTTAAACAGCAGGAATTTTTTTTTGCAGTTTTCTGTAAAACCACTGACCTGCTGATGGAGCTGGTTTAAAATTTCACATTTTTTGTGAGGACTCTGCAGAGATAGGCATTTATAAAAATTAAAAAAAAAGAAAGAAAAGGAGAAACCGAATGCTGACCTTTTGGTGAACTGTTTTCAGGCTAACCCTCTGCTGATCTGCCTTGGGGCTCCTGCTACAGCAATAGGAACATTAAACTGGTTGAGTCTTGTCCTGGCGAAGTCATACAATCAAACCCAATCATTTAAATCTGCTTTAAAAGCTCCAGTCCCCCAGTGGGATTAACAATCATTCATACATCTTGTGAACTAGCAAATATAACGTTCCTGATATCACCATCATCTCCACAAAAGAGCTTTCTATTTGAAGGAGTGGCAGTGCAGTTCAAAATAATAGAGCAGGGGCTGAAAAAGAAATCACCAGCCTCCCAGCTGAGAAATATCAGTTCACCTACATTTTCTCTACTCTCTCTAACACACACATCATTTGCACTAGAACTTGGGATAACAGCTGGAACCACAGTGGAACTGAGACTTTTTTTTTTGTTCCAGTGCAATTCATGGGTCCATGCCCAGTCCATTCCACTTCTTGTAATAATCATTTGTTATGGTTCTGCTTGATCCAGTTTCAACAGTGGCCTCGTCAACAATGGTCCAGTCCTGTATAGTATACGATCTAATAGAGTTTGTTCATTTCTGTGCAGTAAAATCTAGTCCTCTACAGTCCAGTTTGGTCAACCCCAGTCCAGTACAGGTCTTTTTTTCAGCCCTGGACTATAAAAACTCCACGTAGTTTTCTGGTATCAGTCCTGTTCGACCGTCCAATGTCCCTTCCAGCCAACCTGGTTCCCTGGAGGCATGAACTAAAAAGAGACAAAAAGACATGAATTTATTCTCAAGTTAGAGGCAAAAATGTCCATAAATATGAGGCACTTAAACATAGCCTAACATTAATGCAGTGCCAACTAAGTTCTCAGGCCATGGTCAATCTAATCTGAATAATTCCCTTAGTTTAATACAGTTTGTTTTGATAACGGTGAGTTATCTTGGACTTTCCTTAAATAAGCAAGAGTAAACAAATTGATATGTTCTGGACTCAAAGTCGACAAAACAATGTTAGAATTATTTGGAGTTATGCCACCTTCGCCACTTTTTGTCCTCCCAGGGAATCTAACTCACAGACCATGCTACCACAGAGGAGCAATAAGAGCAAGCGCACATCTGAGCTTATTTTAAGGCCAGGTGCTGAAATAAAACATACCAGAATAGAGAAAATATCACATGCTATGGTTTCAGACTCCTAGAAATTAACTGGGTGGTGCCAACTAGAAAGATTAATCAGTACAACTCCAGGGCACCTTTCTCTTTCATCCGACCGGATCACCACTCACTGCTGAAGAAAACTTTGAGGAGAAATGACAGGGAGCCATTATGTTTCATTACAGATATGGTATTCAAGGGAAACTGTATTAAAAGCAGTTCATTTACAATTTTTATAGAGTAGAAAACCCTTAAAGCATATTTTCGTCCCCAGCAATGAATTACAGCACTGAGGCTACATGAAGTCCAGCAGATTCTCCAGGGTGAGTTTCTGTTTTGGTGAAACTGTTTTTATACAAATATCAACCTGCATTCTTTCCTTTTTCCTCTATGCTTGTAGGCTGACTCACCATTCTCAAATACGGTTCCAGCGATGAAGGATAGCTCAGAGTCATGCTCTGCCTTGCAGGCATACAGTGCTAGAGCCTTCCTACCCGCAATACTGGAGACATTAGGAAAGAGAAAGACAGTAGGCTCTGGGTTGGTTCAGGAGGAAAAAGTTTGAAATAACGCTTCATACTGATACTTCAAACTAGACCGAAAGTAACACCTTAAGTTACACAAACCACAGACACTTACAAACTGTTAAATACCAAGTGGTTGTACTCACATATGATAATGAATGTTTTCTAGCATAAATCAAACTTAAATTTCCTCCAAAGTTGTTTTAAAGCATATAAAAATACTTTGCTATGACAAATATATTGAACAGTGTTTTGCCATACACAAGCTAAAGAAACCTCTGAAAATGGCCTGAAAACATCTGATCTTCCAAGATTCATGAATATTCAAATACAGTACAGCTCCAATCTTCCCCTGTTTCACTGAAGTCACGACTAAGCTAAACAATGTGCACCAACCTGACAGGAGAGGAGTCACTGGATGCTGAGGATGTCGGCTGTGGACTCGACGGTGCAGAGAACAACGGCCAGGAGGGAGAATGTGGTGAAGTGGGGCTAGGAGACGCTGCGCTGATGGACACATAGAGACAAAATGGCCTCTCAGCATTCCACATTAGCAGTATTGTAACAATTGAAAAAAATAAAATGCATAATGTTCGATACATCATCAGTGTAAATTTATTTATTTGAAGTCACACTTGTCTTACTTGGTTGGTATACTGCCTCGACTCTTTGGGTTGAGCCTACAAACATAAAACAAAGTAAAAGCTACATTGAAGAAATCCATCCCATTCATAAATACTAAACATTTTCTGAACTTGTAAAATTAAAGGAAAGCTTTTTTAACAAACCTGATATTAACTTAGACAGGATGCCTGAAATAAGATTATGTTACTGAAGGGTTTTCCCCTCTCACTGTGGTATACTTGCATTAGTTTCCGGCACACAAGGAACAAATGATACAGTAAGTCTGCAGAGCAGACCTCCCACCCGACAGAAAAAAGTTAAAGTAAAACCAAACAGATTTTGCTGCACGGAGAAACTGACTCCTTAATAGGTCTCACCGGGTGAGGTGAGTTGCTTAATGGGCTCCAGGTCTGGACTAAAATAACAACCTTAACTGGACAATAATAGCCACGATGAAGCAAACAGTGCATTCTAATGAGCTGTCAAAGTCAAAACAAAGGCTTTAGCTAACTTCACCATGGATACACTTGGCTCAAACATGGTTCTTTTACCTGGTTAATATAGAAAATAACTGCTCTATTTCACCGTCTGTAGCTAGTGAAACCATCCACCACACCTACCACTTTGCGTTCACACTGGATCACTGACAAAACTCGCTCAGGCTGTACATCATAAGTGACTACATGTGTTTTGTGCTCAAAGAGATTTTCTGCTGCCACTGCTCCTCCATTACTGGTGTTATTCATACGCTAATATACTGAGAAAGTCTTACAAGGCTGGATTATGCAAGCAAGATATAACTTAATGCTCAGTACAGCACATCTATGCATGTAGCCATTGGCCTGGTACTAGTGTACTAAACGGGAATGATAGTTTCTCGTTGTCTCTTTCTTTTGATCAAAGAGGATTTCAGATGTAAAATGAGTGAAATGGGGATCTTGCTTTTGAATAGAACTGCTGTCTATTCTATTTAAAATGCACTCAGTGCACTTGGCCTTTCACTATATCCACTGACATTTTGTTACAAGAAGTGAGTGAGCTTAATGGTGCTATTAAAGCTAATCGTGCTGACATACAGCTGTATCCACAGAGGGGTTTATGCAAGTGAAGGAGTGGAACAAAAAGCAGAGCAAAGCCATGTAACCACACCCTGCTGATTGCTACTCCACCCTAAAGCACAAAGTGATGACAGAAAATTCAATCGGCCAAAATTTCGAGCGTATTTCAATTCCTCCATTTCTGAAGATCATCCAGGACTTTATTTAAATTGGTGCAGGTATCCAGTAACCATGAAAGTAGTAAGACAGTACTGTAACTTTGAGGACTAATTTTAATTAAGATCATCTTACCCCAAGATGTGCTAGACCGTTCGTTTTGATCTTTATTTTAAATATCAGACTGAATAATGAGAACATAATGATGGAGAATAATTATTTCTGTTTTAATGAACCAGATCTGACCAGATAACTCGCATGGAACTGAAACGTCTCTACTCTCCCTGCTGACTGTCTTAGGGGATTTTAACAGAGCAAATCTCACCCAGGAACGTTCAAATACAGGCAACATATTACGTGTCCCATAAGGGATAAACAGTCTGCACCTTCAGACCAGGATGAACTCACTGACACAGTAACATCATACCTTAGCTTTTGCGAGGGCGTGTGCGCCTACCACAACCTTCTGCACATACAATAACGACTCAAACAGCTTTGCCACACCAAGGATGATATACTGTATCTATCTGACAGCTCTTCTATTACAAATTGTATGTATATTTTTGTTGCCTTACAAAGGCGTATTGAGAGCCATTCAACAGGAGTTGAATTCCTTGTGCGTTCAACATACAGTACTTGGCCAATAAAGCTGATTCAAATAAGCAGATGTGATATTGTGCCAACATCGAAAGTTTCCTCTTTAAACTGAGAACAGTAAGTGAAATCCTTTTACTATAATTAAGTGCATTGTGAAATAACCAGTTTGACAAAGTGCAATATTGTTGCGTTGGCTACAGTACAAATAACTACCAGCATCGTACACAGTCGAGCCATTTTATTAACGTGGCTTTATCACTGTGTAGGTGTTGTCAGTTTGTCACCTGAACAGATTTATTTCCTTTCATTTTAACAGCAATTTGTTTTGTATGTTACATATTAAACTTAAAGAAAATACAGCAAAATGCCATGGTCATAAACCCTGTTTATTTATTAAGCTGCCAGTTTGAGTGATTGCGTCAATGATCCACGTTCTCTCCATTTGTCACTCACAGCTTGTCAGCTCTCTGTCTCATCTGTTTCTTCTTCTTCAACTTCTTTTCATCCTATCTAACTCCTTCTAACCCATTCTTCTCATCACCCTCCCTCCATTAGAGCTGTCGGAAAAAAATATTTCCAGCTGACAATCAAGATATTCTGACTGACTATATAAATAAATGCTTTCTTTCTCCTGCTTTGACAAAACTGATTTTTACTCTTTCTCAGACAATAATTCCCATTTGTCAGCTTGCTGCACAAAAATAATAAGGATTACAAGTTATAAAGTGAATTAGTGAAAAGTGATGTGGTGAATTGAATGCACACTGCCTCACAACACTCGTAGCATGTTCGACAGCTTATTTACTTTGACTGTCTTCTGGTCCCGTCCGACTGACAAGCTGTCTATCCACGTTGTCAGATATCACACCCATTGCAAAACAAACACTTGTACAAAGGTGCACACCTCTACCTCATATGAAGTGAAAGTAAAGGCACATTTGAAAGCTGCCGCTAATGACGCCATGCATCTAAAACGTATAGATACTCCTTGTAGACAATGATAATAATTTGTACAGCTTTAATACTAAAAACAAAAATCTCAAATCAAATTAAAACTATTTCAAAATATGTTTGATGCTATTTGGATACTGGCTTTACAGGGGAATTTAAATTCAAAATGAAAACAAGAAGTAGCTGTTTTATACCAATTCAGTTGGAATAATTATCATCATCCAAGATTAACCTGAAACTGTGCAGCAGGAGATGGTGGCCAGTGTTACAAGAACCCATGAAGGGCAATGAGCTTTTTCTGAACTTAATGCCTTAAAATATACTGCCAACTCAACTTAAGCTTTAAAACCTAATTTAAAACTTCAGCTAAACTGATTTCATCATTGATTTCCCTCAGTCTTTGTGTGTTCTGTGCAAAGATAAGTCTAGTTTCTGTTTGTGCAGAGATCAGTTTGATTGCTCTTCTCATGTGACTGAGAGTATGACAACACACATTTGCCACACGACGAGACTATGAAAATACAACCTGGCACAGTCTTGAAAAAAAAGCTCACCAGATCCACGCTGGCTGTTTAGAAGCACACTTCACTGACTACTCCAGCCACATAGCTTCTGAACCACACTTCCTCTTTCCCCCAGAGTGCAGTGTTTTCATTGTGGCTTGTTGTTGAGCAAACGGTTCTATCTTTAAATCTAAAAAAAAAATCATCTGCTGTGTCTGTTGACAGTGAAGATGTCAATGACTAAACTGGCTGAGAAGGATGTGCAGTATTAGATGCCCTTATGTACATAAGAACAGGTCTCAGTCGCTCTAACTTTCCTAAGGTTTCCACACAGAATGAGACTACACTGTAAAAAAAAAAAGAGGGTCAAATACACAGCCTTTGTTCTGTGTAGAAATGCACTCGAAAGTTCATCTGAGGCGCCAATGGAGCTTCAGCTGTCCCACTAAGCTAATTTGAGTTGGTGGCTTACAAACGTTACAGTCTGTTTAAGACACATTTCCCTCTTTTGTTTCCCAGGATAGTAGTTCCGTGCTGAACTGTTGTAGAGGGGATACATTCTGCATTTAATCTGCACAGCAGATGATACTGTTATAATCTGACTTTCACTCTGGTTTTTGTATTTTTTTTATATTTGCCCCACATTAATTAATTTATTTTTAATTAAAAACTGTAAATAACAGGGCTTATCTATGAGAAGCTACAGAGGCTAGCTTCAGGTTGATGTTCTTGCTGTGTCCCACTCACAGTGAGCTGGGTCGGGTCTGCTGCGTGTCTTGCTCTCCGTCATTGCTGGTCAGGCTGTGTCTCGAGGTCTGACCTTGGCTGCTGCCGCTGCTACTGCTGCTGCTGCTGTTACAGTTGGCGGAGGAGGAAGCCGGCTGCTGCGGCTCGCTGACTGTGGCATTGACAACATTGTTCCTTTTTTCACCTGCAAGAACAAAGAAAGATCTGCAGCCTCTTTGGTGTTTTCAGCCAGTTCTAAACAGACATGCCATTTCCTTTTCAATACATTGTATTATTTGTATTAGACTAATGAGATTTTTCAGATCACCTTTCTGGGAATGTGTTGGTGTGTGGAAAAGTGTGAGAGGCCTTTCACTGCAGGACGGGGCTTTGTTCTCATTGCTTTTTTTCCTGGACAGGTTGAGGTTGGTCAGACTTCCCGCAGAACTCGGCACATCCCTGAATATCTGTGCAAATCAGAAAATCAGGTTTGAGTACAACGAAACAAAAAATATAGAAATCTACAAAATGTAAATGGTTTGTAAAAAAAAAAGAAAAATTAAACAACGTGTACAACACGTTCTTGCTGCTGTTAAGCTGTTTGTGATTGCATATGTAACCACAAGGCAGTGCAGCTTTTCTTATCAGATTTCAGGCAGAGACAATGATCACAATCTGGTGCTTAAAAGTAAAAACCTGTACACACATGCAACGATATGCTAGACTGTGATTTCATACACAAGAATGGGACCAAAAAAAGCAGCATAACACAAAACCACAAGTAATCTTACAGTATGACTCACTTTTTTTAAGTGCTAGAGAACACTTCAACACAAATCCATTGTGTTGAAGTGTTCACAAGAAAATGAGCAGAAGCACATGAACCATATAAATGTTTCAGTACAGTATGAGAGAATGCTGTTTCCATACTGTTTACAATATAGGCACTATTTTATTATAAAGCCTCTTCCGGCTCTTTCAAACCAGGAACTCACAAAGACGAAGTAGACCACTTAGATTTTATAAAAAATAACCGTGCTGGTTTATTCAGAGGATCACAGGTAAAATTAACATTACACGTCCAGATCTCTCCCACCACCAAACCTGCGCGCAGGCAGCTTGGAAGATGACCAAAGAACCTATACAATATTAATCACTTGGTTGGGATAGCCCATTCTACCCAGGCACGTCAAACCGTGACGTCACCTGATATGCCAGCTTGCAGCTGACCATAACAATAGTAAAAGCATGAGGAAAGTCAAGGTGCGTGGCTGTTGATTAGTGGTGTGTATCTAAGAACAATTTGACATGACATTTCACAAAATATTATGATTAGCATTACAGTTAATAATAACAATCATCCCTGCCTGCAGCCTTTGTCTGATTTAATTAACCTTGGCCTAGATGCAGTCTGCAAGCACATCAGAATAACTAAGCATTTAACAGCCTGAGCTAGATATCCTGTCTCCACTAAACATTTCTAGACAACAAATCTCTGAATATCTATCTAACTAAGAAATTACCTAACAACAACTAAATGAAATGTCTTAATTTTATTGTGTATCTATATTGTCAATGAAAGAAAGTAAAAAGCACTTCACACAGTAAACAAAATGAACAAAACGTCTGAAAACACTGCGGAATTACACTAAAGCTAATCCCTGACAAAGCCAAGGAATTTGTTTAAGCCTGTACCACATCATCAAACTTCTTTCTTTCTCTTTGGATTATTCGGTTGTGTTCATACACACTCACGCCCTCTTACCTTCTCATGGTGCTCTATGAGGATCTCCACTACAATGTTTTGAAACTTGATGTCCATGATGGCGGCCACTGTCTCTTCCTGGGAGCGGAGCAAGGTAGGCCCGAAGACCACACCCAAATTGGCAATGGTCATCAGGTTGTGCTGGTGGTGACTCGCCACACTGTGAATGGGGTGAAACACAGTGAGAGAGGGGCTGGCACCACATTTCATCCTACATTCCCTGCAACTTTACAGTAAAGCAAATCAGCCTCACCACTCAATGACAGCAGCAAGTGCAGCTTTTAGAGAGAAGCCTCGAATAAACCCACTGTGCACTTCCTGTCCAACACAGTGGCAGACACATTTAACAACTAGCTGGTGAACATAATGAAGCATTTATCAGCTAAAAAGCCAGATATATTTTTCAGGACTGGCATATTCAATGGAGATGCCTGAACAAGGCTAAAAATTAACACCAATTGCCCCAGTAGATGTAGTACACTTCCTGTCAATGAGTTAATAACATGCTAGTGTTGTGTTTACAGGATGTTCTGATGTGAGCAAGCAGCAACAAAAAAAGAAAAAGATGAAGCAATACCATTTTAACTAAACACAGACTTAGGCAATTACTTATCAAAACAGGTCACCCAAGATAATAGTTGTTTTTGCCACATGAAACAGAAAGACTGGAGACTGAAGTCAAAAGAACAAAGCAAAAACGGTTAAGAAATATTTTTCTGCACATCTACCCAGAAACGCCAGTCTGTCTTGAAAAAAACCTGTCCATAGTGAGATTATAGATGTGGTTTGGTAGAATAATGAGGTCATAAAAACAGCAAAAAAGGACAAAAAAGTGACATTTCTCTGTTTATAGTTTACAGTATATGCTTTGGCAATATGCTTTAAACCAAATGACATGCCAGTAAATCTTAAGTGATTTCAAAGTGAGAGAGCTAGACAGGTTAGAGAATTATATGAGTGGAATACAAATTTAAATTGTAAATGTCACATTTTTACAAAGCAAAGGAGGAACAGACAGTAAGAACACCTTGCTAATGACAACGACACTCTTTGCATCTCAAACATTACAACCCTCACTGTTATACCGTATTTATTCACTGTTGGTTGTCTGATCTGAACAGAAAGCTACAGAGAGCTGCGGTGTGTTTAAGGTGATTCAGCAATTCAAGCCAGAGATGATGATGATGACCGTTAGCAGGTGTAATCCACTAAGACCAGTTAAAGAGTGCTCTCAAAATAACAGCATTTACGACCGCCTACATGTTGTATAAACAGTGGTGATGCCTCATTTGTCACACATTATACTATGCTGCTGCTGAAGAAAAGTCAGATAAATCCAGAGGGCTTAGATGCGGTTTTAGTGTGAAACCACAAAGTCACTTGGTTGCATTACAGGAATAAATGTGCATAAACAAACAGTCTCAAGCGCTGCTTCTTTTCTTATGGATCGCAGCATTTTGTAGGTCTCTATAGACAGCCAACCTGTTTGAGTCAAGAGTTTTCTTGTCTATACACATAGTAATAAAACTGTACAAAACGTGGAGGCAAAGGTAGGATCTAAAGAGCGAAAAGGGGAAAAATTTTTAAGTTGTCAGAAAACTAAATGAGATTTTTACAGGAGTCTTCCTGTTGAACTAATTTCCAAAGGTGACTAGCATCCTATTATTTCCCAGTAAGCAGTGATTTGATGAGCAATTCAGTGATTGCAGGACAATGTCAAATTGGACTAAATTTGCTTAAAAAAATTCTTATTTGAATTTACCAAAAAATGAAGAGGAGAAAAAAAAAGAGGCAATTCACTACTGACAGTGTCACAGCAAAATAATAATGACTACGGTTATGCGTACTTGGCCAGGTGTTTTACTAGCAGCTCCAGCATCTGCCTGTTCTTCTCAGGTAGTCGGTGCACGAGAGCATGGACCTCTGTCACCCTGGCCTCTGGGTTGTCCAACTCTGGACAGAGACAGAAAGTAGGACAGGGAGGGTGACTCTGGGAGAAATGACTTCAGCACATCACAATTGGTTACTTATTTACTGGCACATACTGTACATGTAAGGAGCAGAAACACTGAACAGGTAAACAAGTGTCTACAAGTGGAAAGCAAGTGGGAAAAGTGCTTTTATTCATGTTACATACTGTAACAAGTGGTCAATGCGCAAATAAAGAAATATAAATATCAACCAAATGTTCAAATGTAATTACCATCATAAAGTGATTGTAACATCCCTAATACTGAGAGAAAGAATGTTCTTTTTAACAAGACAGAGAAACCGCAAACACACAAAGAACAGACAAAACAGGCTGGTCATGAAGTCAGACACACACACACAGAGGTTCTTTTAGTCTCAGTGAGTTTAACAGAAAGACGGGTAGAGCAGCCAGAGAGACCTATTGGTGATCAATGACGATAATAAATTACGGCCACAGGGTCAATAGAGAGACGAAAGCAGGCTTACACTAGATCAACCCTTATGCCCTGGTTGTGAGCGCCAGGCAATACACTCACAACTGGCAGAGCATCGCAAACACACTCATACTTTCTTAACAGCTAACGGGGCTGACAAGCAAGATATCAATGTACCAAAACACACCAAATATTCACAAGCACTTGCACATATACTGAGACGAACTGCTGATAACACCCTCACTGACCATTTAAAACCAGTCACTCACTCACACAAAATCAAATAGCTTTAACACACACGTGCACATCCACCACACATACCTCCAAACACATGCACCCACACGATTCCATATTACGTGTTCTCTGTTGTGCACCACTTCACACTCATCAGGCTAAAGCCCACACACTTCCTTTCCTTCAAGGTGCAACTCACAACAGGTCCAAACACACATATGATAAAGCCACACACAGCAATGCATACATAAATATCAGGTTTTCTGAAAACCAAATTTAACACTACTGATTCTATTCAGGAGTGAATATAAAGCACAGTTTATCTGGTTTTTTGAAAAAGCTCTGGAATTAACTCCCACCCCTGCCTACCAAATCCCAGGAGATGGGTAGAAAGGTAAACTGAATATGATTCACCAGCGCAAGGAAATTTTTAAATTACATTAATCCTGTCATTTGCACCAACTTGTCTCCTTACCAAGGACGTGCTCAAAATGATGAGAATCATGTTTTAGGTGCTTCTGGGAGTGTATTACCTACAGACTAGCCGTTACGAATAGCTGATTTATTTTTTTTCGTCATTTGACAGTTGACAGTCTAAAGACGATGCACTAAACAACAGCAGAGAAAGGGAAGAGAGATCCTTGGCTGTGAATCATGTTTTCATTACGTGGTTTTATGCTTTGATTAAAACACCAGATACCCTGTAACTGTTGAAATTACGGTCACAGCTGTAGGGTACAAATATCAGCACAGTATTCTGTGGTAAAGGAAGTTTACAACACTGTTTTCTTGCTGTGAATTAGCTCAATATTTCCTATCTTGGGGTTAAATAAGCAGCAGAACTAGGAGTAATTAGCTAAAAGCTAGGAATTTCCAGCTAACACATGGGATCTCAATAATTTGATCAGCATAAACCTTGACAATGAGTGCATAAGTACAGAATGTGCACAATGATGTGATGAGCTAAACACAAAGGTTTTTACTAGAAGCAGTTGTGAACCTGGCTGGCTTCTTATGCTGTTGTTTAGCATTATGACTAACAATGGCATTTGTGCAAAAATAAACACAAAAAGGAACTAAAATCTGATGCATGCTCTACAGCTTGAAACAGAATGCACAAAGCTCAAAAAGGGGTACAAGTGCCATCTATTTTAGTTTATTTTGTTAAGTCTAATTCCAAAGTGTAATTTTGTAGGCAAACTAAACCAGTGGTTTCTTCGCTACATGCGTTCAGTGCTACATACCTGTGTTTCTCAAGTCTAAAATTGTGGTTTGGCACCCCCATGGTCACACAGAAGCCCTTTAACCACCCAACGCAGCCTAGTTGAACAGCATATAGTCCTTCACCTATACTGTTAATCACCTACCACAGCTCTTTTAGTTTAGGTGCACCATTTCTAATTAAAATCACAAAACAGTGTGGATCAATTTAGCCTCTTTTAGATAATCCCATTTCCCATGTCAGAACTTCTGAGGTAGGAATTTGCTCCTTTGAAACTTTAATCTTGACTGTCAGCTGTTGACATTGCATTAAAGTTATCCTCTTACAGTCTCCAGAAAGCTTTGCTCCTATCTCTCTTGATCAGAACTCCCTTTATTTAACCAGATAATGAGTCACATGTGATGTTTGCTGGCTTTTCCACAACGTCAACCAGTTGTGTAAAACCAATGCCTTTTTCATTGTGTTCATAATACTCACAAGCCACCAAACCAAAACAACCCACTCTCATATGATATTTTTTATTCCTATCATGTGGAACCTTCAGGTCAAACATGGCATTACAACAACCATGCAGGACTGTAGCGTCCTCTTGCAGTGCCCTTTGAGCTTCAGATTTAAGACAAGCCCAATTCAAGGCTTTTTCCTGAGGCTGAGGCAACAAATCATGTCCATATGTAAGCAGCTTTGTAGGAGAACAGCAGACTGACGTTCAGTGTACTGTTCTTAGGAAAACAATCTGTCACCATCATTAGTCATCTCAGTTCTTCCAAAACTTTTTTTGGTGTACAGTGCTCATAGGTGCAAATGAAGGTCAGTTAATGCAAAGAGTTGCCTTTAAATTAGACCTCTCTCTCGATGAAACAGGGGAAAGCTATTCAGTCACGTCATTTTCTTTTTGCATTGCCTTTAGTAATTCAGAATTGAAATTCTCTGAAGAAGCATGACCATCCTCAACCCAAGGCTTGACATAATTTTCTAAATCTTCTGTCAACCTCATCCCTTAAATCAGTGTCATCATGTCCAAAGCTGGAATGAAGCCTTTGCATTTGTTAGTTTCCTTAAATTTTCATTGTATGCTTTATTTCTGTATTCACAGCAGTCAAAGTGTTAAAAGCAAATATCTCCTTATTAGCCTTACTCAGCTTGCTTTTACATTAAATCGATCTCCTCTGTTTTAAAAGCAAGTTTCTTTTCAAGACCTTCAGTTTCAACAATTAATGCTGCTCTCTGGGATTCAGCTGTGATTCTATGACCCAGAGGAAGATTCACAATATCCAGTTATGCTTCCAACTTTGCTGAATACTTCAGTAGAAACAAAAAAATCTTGATCATGTGGTTTTTCCAAAGCTGTCTGCTCTGTTGCCTTTTTGAGCAGGTTTTGCACTACATTTTAAAATGAATGAAGCTGGGCAATCTTTGTCAAACACCACTGCTTGTGATCAGTTTATCACCTCCCATCTGGAAGTAGTTAAATCCAATCAATCAATAGCAAAATAATCACCTGCATTGTAGTTGATCTACTTCAAAACAGCATTTGTTTGTGTAAAGCCATAAGGATGCCCAAAACAGCATCTGTGTCCTATTAAATACTAATTTCCAGTTGTACTTAGTTGCGTATGACAAAATCTGTCATATGCAAATGATGGGAGGAGGGTGTCTGACGTAAGAGTAAACAAAACAAGGTGTTTGAGTTCGTTTCCTGTTTCATGTAATCAGTTTCTTGTCAAACATGCTGTTGAACCTGCCTGGCCATCACTTGCAGAAATGATCTGAATTCTCATGCATGAGGAGATGAGGAAGCATAATGTTCGACCACTGTTTTGATGCAGGCTGAAATTACACCACCTGCCCATCAGCAACATAACACTGCCTAAATCCATTCATGCACACAATTCAGCCTAAATTATTAACTACAGTGTTTCCATTTTCTATTACTGTTGGCCAAGCCTCAAACTCAGCTCAAACTCACTACGTACTGTTTCTTGAAATCTCCTGTGGGCAGCGTGCGCATGTACCATTACATGCCTTGTTTCAAAAGACAACATCCATTGACAGTGACCAGCACTGACACTCTCTTCTTTATCACTCAAGTCATGTCAGTTGATATAGCAAAGGCAGAGACACTCCAGAGCAGGTTAGGGAGGATAGGGAAGGGACATCACGACAACAAAAGCGACCATAAAACACAAAGGTAAGAGGGCATGTTATATCAAAAGGTGGATCACTGATGTATCATCCAAAGCCCTTGATTTACCGGTTTATCTACATACCAACCTTGAGAAAAATCTCACCCAGGGACCCGCCTGTAAACATCTCAAAGAAATTCAAATTTCAAAGTTATTCTCAGAGAGGACAAAGGCAATACTTCAAGAAGCTGTTCTCAGGAAGTTACAAAAATTGCCACACAGCCAGCCACCCCAGTTCTGATGTTATAGAGTGTGTATGTGTGTTTGGGGGAGGGGGCTGTTCAGTGATCTTACAAAGTACTGTATATACTGAGGCCTTTGGGCTGCTACCGCGACATCTTTCACCTCCGTATCATCTCTCAGCTTTTCATCTCTTTGTTTTACGTACTATGTTATAAAAATGCCATCACCAAACAGCATCATCAAAATAAAAAAAGCATCACATTTCAGGAGTCAAAAATGAAACCCAACGAAAAGTGGTCAGGAAATTCAGGCAAACAGTATATGAGTGAAAATAGACAGTAGTAAGAAAGAAGGATAATTAGAGTTCAAACATGGGGTGAAAAAATAATGACTTCATGAGGAATACTGTATTCCACTGACTGGAAACAGAGTGATAACTGTGTATGTGTGTTCTTGCTGACACATGCCTAATGTGGGCATCTTAAATCCATGTGGCACCACCCTTGGTCCCTCCTCCTCATCTTCCTTTCTTACACTCCCCCTCGTTTCCACTCCATTTCCTTCTTTCTTCACCTCTGCTCAGTTTAAACCGGCCAGAGTAGCACGAGATGACAGAGTAAGCTGAGATGAAACTAGATGAGGAGGAGGAAGATGGGTTTGTGACAATGATGATGGGAAGGGTTGGTGGAAATATGTGAAAGAGAGGAGGAGAAAAGAGGCGGGAGAAAGCAGGAGTTCAGCTGAGGACACCGTCCTCAAAACGCCCCACTGCTTAGCCAAAATCTGGCCTTGAAAAAGAAGACAAAAGCACACTCATACACAGACACGCATTCTTGCAGATATGCATTCCTGATTTGCACCAATTCATGACATGCAAATGTAGACGCCTACATAAACAGAAACTGCTGAATGGCAGTGGAAAAAGGAAGAAGTTTAACAGAAGGGCTGATGGGAGAGCTGTAAACCTGTACAAAGAGCATGTGGTATAGTTTATGATTATTACTAAACCATGAATATATATATATAGCATGCGTGGTGGTCCAAGCCGGTATCAAAGCAGCGACCTTGGCATTCTTAACTCCTGTGATCTACTCCTTTCTCCTCGTAGACACATTAAGGACTTGGTTGACTTCACTATGGAACCATTTCATGGTATCATTGCCAGAGTGACAGTCATTTCCTGGAGCTCCTTCCCCTGTCAGCTTTCTTGAGGTACAGCTACCAAAGAAGAAGGAAAACAGGTCTGCTGGACTGAAGTAGACTGAAGACCTGAGCTTGCTGAATGAACCAAATCTCATTCAGTAAAAAGAATATATAGCAAAGTGTATTTTTAAATTAGTGCTTACAAAAGTTTATTTTGGTTCCGAGAAGCCACACGAGAAGAATTCAATGCACTGAAATGACTGCAGTGACTGCTGCAGAGGACTGGTACTATGTCTTGAAGACAGCTGACTGTTTACTGAAAATGAAATCATTTTATTTTGACATAATACTCCACACCCAGCAGGTGCTGATACAAATAAGGGAAAATGTTGCAGTTGCTCTATGACCCAACAAACCTCAAAACACAAAGCTTTACTAGACTGCCATGTTTAGATCAATCCCCCAGGTTTTCCTGTTAGTATGTGGAATTTGAATCTCAAATAAATATTGTTAGACAACACTACGCACAGCAGGTCAGTAACATACTGTGTTCATCACACAAGGTTAAATGGCACGGCTGGTGGGCTCAACTACAAAGAGGCAGGCAGAGGATCCCAGGTGCCACAGCGGGTGTCCTGCCATCTCAGCAGCTCAACTGTCATTCTGCATCTGGCAACTTGTTGTATGTGTGGTTCTGTTTGCCAGGGCTCCTTTGCAAAAGAGGTTGTAAACCTCGATGGGATTTTTCTCCATGTAAACCACACAATATTTTTTTTTAGTACAGTCTGTTTTATTTTAATCCAATGTCTTCAAATAGCTATTTGAAGTATTTTTATATGAGTAATTTCAGAAGGAATCTAAAGTAGCGTCTGTCTTTATGTGTTGCAGACTAAACTCACTTGCAGCTTTGATGAAGCTCCTCTGGTACTGGTATGTCATGAGAGGTGCAGGCAGCATTCTGAAATACAGGAGATGTAGAAGTTAGGTGGAGAATGTCAGCTTAGAAACTGGAACAAGAGTTAAGACTGGCTGCTTTACAAAAATCAGTAAATCTGAATAGCTCTGGCTGAGCACTGCTCTCCCTTGCGTTTTCTCCACCACGCACAGCTGGATATCCATTTATCACTGCTGCCTGAGGAGTTTAATGGCTTCTACTGGGGTCCTAATGTTGTATGTGTGCACACGTTTGGTTTATGCACAGACACTTCTGTATGTCCTTCATCACATCGGTCCATTTATGTGCCAGTGAAGTGCATGCGTGTGTACTACATGTGCACAAATGTATCAATATGTGAACATTTGTGTACCTGTGTGTTTGCAAGTTGTGCACATTCAGGTACAGCAAATTGAGCACAGCTTGAACACTACTACTCCTCCTTCCACTTTGCTGCCTATTCTTGGCTTCCCACAGTCCCAATCCTTCCCTCATTACCAGCTGCTGAGATGCTCTTGAGGGAGTGATTTTATACGTCAGCTGCTATACAGTGGCCAAAAGACAAGACTGCGGTTGTATGTACTCGAAACACATGATTGGGTGCAACTGTGCTGGAACAAAACATTTGTACTAAGAACAACCCCTCCATGGACAAATAAAAGTTTAAAATGCATAAAACAAATAAAGACTGGTGAATGAAAAATGAATGAAAAAGAGCAGAAATTTCACCGGTTTCACAGGATTTTCAGTTTTTATACCTCATATTTGCATTCATCTAAGGCTTTTCACACAAACCTGAGATAGTGCTTAATAGCACTTGTGATAGTCTTAATCTCCCAATCTGGGTTTTCCAGCTCCACATCAGCACATGTCTTAGGATCTAATGGACAAAAACATGAATGTAAGAAAAACTTACATATGTGAAAACAGATTTTATTTCCAGCTCTGACAAAATTTCTGCATTTTTGTTTACCCATAGCGAGGCTCAGTAGTTTTTGAACTCGGGAGTTGACACCAACGATCCTGTACAAGCCCTGCTCATTGATACCTAGGGGAGGAGAGAGGTCACGAGAGTTTACCACCCACTCGTGTTCCATTCAAATTTTAAACCAACAACAATGTGATTATGATAACCCAGTGCTTCCTCATTTGTTAAACCAGGATGGTTTAACATCAAGGCGCAATAGCAAACTTGGTTTTATTAAACCTGGCACTGCTATCAAACTACTGGTCATAAAATGCTCAATCTAAAACAATGTATAAAGAATATATGCATGCATTTAATGATAAACCAAGACAGTGCAGCCAGCCAGGGTTACCGTAATTAAATTATTTCTATACAATTCAGATTCATTTTTGCATCTAATTACATGTGCATTTGCATTTAATTTATCAACATCCATTTTTTTCTGTAGCATTTATATTTTCATACAGAAAATAGTTCCTCAGAAATAATCCTGGCAGCTGAGAAACACATGGTCATCATTATAATGCATACAATCTAAATGTCAATACATCTGCCAGATGATAATGGATGCACTAGTGCAGCAGATGAAGACAGAAGGTAATACTATGGCAAATGTGGACCTTTATGGGGGGGCATCAGGAGAAAACATCCTCCGAAGGTGATGGATTTAAAGTCACACTGATGCTCACTGACACCCTGTCATTAAAACCTATTCACCCAACATGTTATGCAGAACACAATACTGAAGGACTACATTTCTCACATGGGCACCTCAATATCTTATATGCATTTATGAATTTACCCTTCAGAATACTGAGTCACCTGAGAGTTAACACAGCATCTGTTTTATAAGAAACAATCCACAAGGTCCATCATCAGCCGCTGGTTTTTGTTGCTGGCATGAACTCCTACAGAGTTACTGTAGTTCCATAGCTGCTTAACTGAAAAGGTTATATCCGCCACTTTGTCATAGCTGCGTTCAAGCAAATAGCTTTTATTTATTTCCCAAATGTCTGTGGTGGAGCACTCTCTCTAATATACTGCATATTTCTTAAGTAATTGTGAGAAAACTAAGTCAGAGGTATACAGTAGATGAAACCATAAACAAGCAAGCACTGTAAATCCAGTGATTCAGTGTAACTATTTGACTGCTGCCCATGGTTCAGATAGTAGTCTGTACTGTGTACTACTGGGGTGTGACATAAAAAGTACAGAGCTGAAGTAAATCTTACTAAAAATCAAGTGTGTTACACTAAAATAAGCAGGAAAACCACAGAATCTGAATAAACATTGTACCTCGAGTCTCTACTGCATAGATGAATTTTTTCATTACGTTGAACCCTGTGACATCCAGCTGGACCACTGATGGGCAGGGAGACCAACGGGGCATGAACGATCGCAGTGAAATGACACAGTCAGAAGAAAATCACTTTTGATTTACATCTGCTTTGATTTGCAAAAAGACCATGCATTTGAAAATGAGGACACTTCGTAATTACAGTAAAGTAGTATGCAAAGAATGTGCAAATCTAAACCTTACAATACAGAAACTAGAACAACTATATAGTTAATGAACCACATTTTGCAGAGTATTAAAGCTACTTACTGCCTTCAGCCTGGCTGTCTTTGTTCAGATTGTACACCTGCAAACACAAGAAACATTACGCTTATAGTCAACATTACACAAAAAAGTTATATGAAGCTGTGCTGTTTTTCTAAATGTGAATATAAAGCTTTGAATCCTTGTTAGTAAAAGCTGCATACTCTAATTCATAATTCACTCATAATTACCTTTAGTGGCCAAATATGTTACACACACACAAGGTATTTGTCTCTGGTACAGAACCAAGGCAGCCATCTCACACACACACACACACACACACACACACACACACACACCCATGGGTGGTGCTGATGTGGCCATCGGGGGAACTTGTAACTTAGTGTCTTGCCTAAGAACACTTCGACATGTGGACCAGGAAGAACGGGAATCAAACCGCTGACCTTTCAGTTAGGAGATAACCGCTCTACCTCCTGAGCCACAGCCATCTTAACATTAACTGAGGTTCATGAGGATACCAAAAAACATTTATTATATTTGATTTTGCAGTCTGAAAGTAGTTTTGACTCGGTAAGTTATAAATTCACATTTTTTGCACAACTGAATTTCCCTTTGGGGATTAATAAAGTCTTCTATCTGTCTACCTTTCCATCTAAAATAGCTATAAACAAATGTGTGTTCATTCTTAGATCTACCTCATTTCCACTATCAAGTTGAAGGCAAAGGGGCAGCCATAGAACACAGAAGTCACAAAAGGTAGTGATCCCTCACCACCGGCTGTATACTGTATATCTCTGAGTTGAGAGGCAACTTCACATAACACTGATATTGCCTTCTAAATTTCTCTGATTGTCTCATTGTTAGACCGCTACCCATTATTTCACACAAAAGATTAGAGACAACCATTATATTTCTTCTCCTTTTCAATCTCAATTTTTATCTTTTGTCTCCTCAAATTTATCTCGGGAGTCGTTAAAGGTGTTCTGAGCCCCTGATTAGGAACTACTGCTTTACTCTAACATTTGACAAATGATATGTATGTACTGAGAGACTGTGCAGAGGAAAAGCTGCTGAAGTCAGACCAGTGCTGCAAAAATGATTTCTAATGTTGGTGCTCTTGTTCTGCTTAGTGGACATGCAGTCTCTCGCTCTCTGTCTCTCTTCGTTTCTGTCACATAAGAACAAACTGGTAACCGTGGTAACCTACCGGTTCTCTCCCATCCATGGCCTCCATCCACAACCTGCGGTCTTCTTCTGACAGCGCCTGCATGGTGATCACTCCGGGTCTTCACACAAACAAAAGTAACATTAACTTATCAAATATCAAGGTCAGGTGCAGACATTGTCCATTAAATGCTATTAACAAACCTCACAAATACTGGTCAGAAGATAAACATGCAAATACATGCACAAAGCAATGTGCATCTCTTATTAAACCACAGCTGTAATCATAACAACATACTTGACTGATGCTCTTCAAGTTTTTCAACAAGCTAGCTGGTTGACTTAATTGAGAACTCTTTCCAGTATTCAAAGTAAAAAAAGCTCTTGATAGCCAATACATGATTAAAAGGCTTGTTGCCCTTCCTCAGATAAACGCAGTTGTCTAAAAGGATCTCTGCATGCAAACCTCACACGGGAGCAAATCATATTCATTTATGAGTTCCAGAGGTATGACTACTTTCCGGTACACTTTCCAGTACAAACAGATGATTGTTTTTCCCCATAAAAGATCAAAAAAGGACAAAGAATTTAGCCTGAAAATATACAAAGAATCTAACAAGGATGAATTAATTCATTCTGGCTGTCACACCACAGCACTACAACCTCTTCAACACACACAATCATGATACACCCCCTAACATGCAGTCACCCTCATCCAAATACACTCTCTTGCATGTGCACAGCCACATTCTGTAATTGGGAGATATACAGACAAACTCAAGGAAACACAGATACAAAAATTACTTAATCAAATGTGTTTATGCCAGTCCTTACAACAACCACACAGAATGTATGTGTAAGCACACTTCTAGAGCTAATGTCTGCTTGTGTAAGCATTGTCTCAGCATTTTAGAGACAAGCATGAGATGATTTGATGGAGAAGGGTTAAAGTTGAGGAAGAGGCAGAGTGGGGTTAAGGAGAAAGGAGGAGGAGGAAGTATGGAGGCATTAGAGCACAGCAGGGGGAAAACCGGAGGGGACAAACAGCTAAAATGTCCTGTCATCAGGTCCAAATCAACCGAGCAGCACCCCCATGTGTATTTTACATGCAATTACATCATGTAAATAACACCTCATGCCAATTACTGACCTGATGGCTGATCAGAGCAATGTAACTGAAATGCGTTTCAAGAACAACTGGAGTTGAGTTCCACGACACTTCAAAATTTTTTTGAAAAGTCATAAGACCTGAATATTTACAGTATTCTTTCCATTTGTTTCTTATAAAGATTTTCCATTACAGTTGATCCTGGAATGTCTCCTGGAACTATTATTGTGCTCGGTGTGTGAAACAATTTCCTGAAATTGGTCTGGTGTAAGACCCCATTTGTGAAGTTCTGATTACATATGCATGCAATCACAAGGCATTTCATTTACTCATAACAACCATCACACACAGCCACATATATTAAAATTATTATAAATATTATTAGAAATATACTGTATCCTAATGAAGCCTTGAAGTCTCTCAGGGGCACCAGTGTCTTTAGCTTAGAGCCAATGCAAAAGCTATCATCAGCATAACAAATGAATGTTACTCGTTGAGCTAGAAAATAGATATTTATGCCCAGAGTAAACAGCTGTGGGCCTAATAGTCATCCTTGAGGGACACCTATATCATCCAACTGGGGACTTGATTTAAAACCACTGGCAACAACACTTTGAAATATATCAAAGATTTGATTTGAACCAATCAAAATTAGAAACATGAAAACCTATGGAAAGCAAATTATTTTACAAAATGGTATCATATACTCACTGACCTGTCCACAGCCTCCACATCAAAACAGAACCTCTTTTCTATCGAGTCCGTCTTCCTCCTGGTGCACGACTTGAGGATAAAGCTCTCCTCTTCTCCCTGACAAAGTGAAAGTAAGAGACAAAAAAAATCATCAATTAAGTAGCACTATGATAAATGCAGTAGATCAATAAAAGAGAATGCAACTCTACTGCACATTTACTGGATCCCTACATGACAAGAGAAGAACCAACTGACTGCAGAGTAGTAACATCACGGATGACATTTTAGATGATAAAGATATTTTCTTGGACAAGACTAAGAACTGAGAAACTGAATGAAGCAAAGACACTGGCTCAGTTTTTAGAATTAACTTCTTTTTTTTAATAATAAAGACTGGTTCTCTTCTGTCTCATGTTGGAGAGTTAATGAAGCTAGAGGCAGCCTTTCCAGCTTGCTTTACTTAAAGCTGGAAGAACAAAGATAATTTTGGGCAAACACTTGCAGTGTGAAATGGGCCACAATACAAATTTCAGCAGCAACTGACTAACAAGAAATGTGTAAAAATAAAATGTGTAAGTAGGAAGTCAGAACTTTGGGGTTATAGCTCCATTTTGCAGCTTTATAAACACTTAAAGGTATTAGAGCTTCATCAGTTTGTTAGCTTCAGGCACAAAAGAGAAATTTGCTTAAATCTTTTCATTATGTGAAAATCGAGTATTTGTAGCAGGATTAGATTATGTAAGTAGGATAGGTTGGTTAATGTCATATTAAGATTGCTGTACTAGTGGGATTAAGGTTACATCCACATGGACAGGTCAGGTAGTGCCTCATGTTGTAAGTCACAAACACATATTATTAAACTGGTTTAGATTTATTTTAAAATAATTACTTTCCAGTGCTAATCAAAGTTTAATATGTGGGGAAATATTCAGAAAAGCTTTTTTTTTTTAACTAATGCATAAAACAGTGTATAATAGTAAATATGATGAAGCCACAAACTGAGAGCATGTTGACAACAAATGAGCTCAACTTCACACTGTCATTAAAAACTCACACAGTACCATCACATCAGTTTCAAGAAATGCTCAGTCTCAGCACCTACCTTCAGTTACTGGTTACGTTTTTACTTGATAGATATATATTGTGTGGTAGATATATATTGTGAAGACATTATGTGATAGTGCACCATGTTTACACTCCTGCTTCACACAGCAGATGCAAAGCATTTCAGAAATGCTTTCTGTTTTGCTTTTTTTTCTACTTTTACTGTAGCTACTCAAACTATCCCGTTGGGTTACTCAGTATGTCGGTGGAGTGATAAGAGACAGTACTTTGAGAAAATGGCTGTAGAGTCTTGTTGCTCATTTGGTGACGCTCATCTAATGAGGCTGCTGTTGTAAAAGAAATTCTCTCTCTTCTAAAACTAGTATCTCCTTGTATAACTTATATGATTTAAAATAACTGAACACTATTTTGTTTAAAAGTTGCATTGTAGTTTTCCTGGAAATATCTGATGAAAGCATGCTATATACTGGGCTTAATAGAAATATGCCCAAACACACAATGAGAGCCTGTTGTGCTCAGCAGTGAGCAGAGTGAATTAATGGAGAGCAGCCCTCTTGGATGAACTGGGCGTAAAGCTACTACAAATCTGACAAGATGATGATAGGCCAAAGTGATGCTCAGGCCAAAATAGGTGCGAGTGTTTGTGTCTGTGCATGTGGAACAATTGTGCGCACATGTTTCTACCACTGTAAGTATCTATGCATGTTTCATGTTTTGTTTTCTACTAACACTTCAACAGCCAGACAAATGTATATCCTGAATGTTTAGCATCACTGTGACTTTATCTGTATACTGTGCTTAAATGCCCAGAGCTACTCACCGTTTTTCCTCCTGATTTGGGGTCAAATAATACCATGGTGACCTTCTTGGGTTCACGATGGTACGTACAGTAGTACTTCACCCAGGTAGATACAAACGACCCTGAGACATGGAGACAGATGAAGAGAGAGAAGATTAAACCACAAAAATTGGAGATGAAAGGAATAAAGAGAAAATGGTGACGTAAAATGTTCAGAGAAAAGCCAAAACAGAGGCAGGAGGGGGAGACGACAAACAACAACAAAGAGGTTGAGTCTTAGTCAGGCCTGCTTTACTGCTAGATGTCACCATGGTAACAGCATGCAGACAGTGTTGCTGTCACGTCTCCAGCTGATTAGACTCGACTTCATCGGCCGTAGGTTCATTATGGCCTGTTTGTTTGGCTGCTACGTTGGTGTGTGTGTGTGTGTGTGTGAGATCCACAGTAAATGCTACTAGCATTGAATATACTGTATCTGGACACACAGACACAGTGCCATACTAATTAATGTTTTCTATGCTACTGCAACAGTGTTAATTGTTGCTGAATTGGGCTGTCATTGTAAGATCTAACATGTACACACAGAAAGAAGTGGGCCGACACATACGCTTCTCCTGCACAAAGAGGTAGCCCTCCATAGTGTGCTGGCTGACACTCTTGTGTTCATGTGGATTCTCCTTCAACTTCTTCATCAGACTCTCCACCTCAGACCGTGTGCTCTCAAAACGGTTCCTTGTCTGTCAAACACAAACACAGAGGAGTACACACTTTAGGTCTTTAATGAAATATTATGACACTGAGAAAGCTATACATCTTCCTGATTTGTATACGTTTCACTACGATGAAGCCGATCCAACTGACCTTAAATCTGTGTGGTCTTTGAGCTTTCAACATAAATTCTTCAATGTCACATTTTAGGCAAAGTATACATTTTTTGGGTTGTGGATTAACAACTCGGAAATGCTTCTCTCAACTTAAAAAAAAAAGCCAAGCTCCTACAAATTTTCCTGTTGACCATAAACAAAACTAATCTGAAGATGTGTAGATCATTGACAAGCTACAAAGACCACCAGATGTAACAGAAAAATCAAAAGACCAAAAAAAAGCACTAATATTTATATGCAGCGCTTAAGGTTATGATGTGACCTTGTGGTTTGTGTGTGTGAGACACCTTACATTCTGTATGCTGATAGTGAGATCCGTCTTGAAGTGGTTGAAGTCCTTTGCCAGCTCATAGCCATGGTGATAGAAGGTGAACAGGCCTTGAAGAAACGCCAACAACTGAGGGAAACAAAAACAGCAAGAAAGTGAAGACAGTGCAGGAAGAAGACAATGGAACAAAGATGACAAGGTCAAAGGGAGAACAGGACAAAGAAGCTAAATAAGGAAGATGGGGAATAAAAGCTAATGTGTGAGGAAAGGGAATGAAAGGAATGTGAACAAGAAGGGAAATTGTGTCCTATTTTGTTCTTTCCTGCAGAACTAAAAGGCAGGTTTGTGTGGTATGTGTGCAACAAACTGTCTTTATTTCCTCAGCAACTACCACTGAGGTGCCCACAAGCAAAGAACTAAACCCTTCAAACAAGAAGCTGCTGGGTGTGGATATGTCAAAGTAAGTGAATGTAATAAAGACCACTGTTGAAAAAAGAACATGCGTGCTCAGGAACATTTGGAAAAAGAAGATTTAAAAATAGACATATTACATAAGAGGGGGCACTAGTGTCATCTTACAGGTTCCACAAAGTCAAACATCTTCCTTTCTTGGACCTCCTGCACCTTGAAGACGTATTCCAGAGAAACCTCGTAGAAATGCTGCCGTACGTTATCTACCTGGCTGTCCGCCTACAACACGGAAAGAAAATGAGTAAGCTGACAGCCTGAACTTCATGGAAAATTAGAGAAATAAGACCAGTCAGGCAGGAGGCAAAAGGAAGTTCCAATGTTGACACAATATCTTACTTCATGTAAATGCGACTCTTTCTTCTTTGCTGAAAGGCTAAGGTGCTTCTCCAGCACTGCACAATACTTCTCTGTTTCTTTGTCATATTTTTTCCTGGCTTCCTGTAATAGATAAAACAACAACAAAAATCAAGCTTTTACGTGGGTGACAGAATAATCAAGCTTCATCTCCAATAATTCAACTCCTGTGGGACTTCATGAGGAACATGTTTTGTTAACAAACCAAACATCTAATCTAATTCTTATCATATTAACATGGACTCTACAAGTGACTGGATCAGTGAATACAGCCTGCAATCAATCATAGTGCTTGTATAGCTGGGAAAAAAAAACTGACTGAAGTGAACAGAGGGCAAGGCATTATTCATTTATTTCATTTAGCTTCACATATTTCCCATTTTACAGGGAGGCCATCTTAAAAAGGTTCCTCCAGGGAGCACAGCTGCTTATAAAACAACAGTTTCTTTCATCAAATGTGAGATCACTGACAGATGACAGACACACAGATAGATGAATGGATGATAAACCAGAAACAAAGAGCAGCGTGTGTGTTACTAAACAGAAAAATACAGAGAAAAGCTGAATGTGTCCAAGAAGACACATTGCACAGTAATTATTAGGCATAACAGAATCACTCAGCTTTTATGTAATTCAAACTAGATGGAGGAGGAGAAGCAAGCACAAAGAGAGAAGGAGCAGACCAGGGTGGGTCTGCTCCTGCCAGAGAGGCCCCGGGGTGTTATTATTGTACTGTATCTGCCCCAGCCTGTTGATGTTATTGCATTTCTTTAACCCAGACTCATGACAAGTCAGGGCTGAAGCTTCAGAAGGAAGCTTAAAAATGGGGATGCTATTAGAATCAAAATATTGGGTAGTTCTATAACTGAGTTAAATGATTTGTTGTCATTCATCAAGTAAAAATGCCAAACATTAGTAGGTTCTAGCTGCTCACGGGGAAACTTTGGCCCATTTTATAAAATTGTAAACTGAATGTTTTTGGGGTTAAAGGCCTTTTTCATCAAAGACATTCTGATGTGTCACAGAAGATGTAAGGCACCGGTATAAATAAAATGATCAATGGCTGAATTCCTATGACAAGCAAGAATGACTGCTGTAATAAAAAAAGAACGATTATGGAAAAATCAATGCGCGATATTGGATTTAGAGGACGTTTTGCATCAATGTGGTAAAATGCCTCCATCCGTCAGGGATTTACTCTGGCTACTTGTGCAAATTAAGTTTTTCACATTGTCCTTGGACAATTACCAAGAAAAGACAACTCTCAGATCAGGGAAAATCACCAAATACTGTCTTGCAAGGTTGTAGTTAGACAGGCTCATGATGTCAACCCCTCTTGCAGTCACATGACATAGGTGTCTTATTTCCATGCCAGTTTTAACAGCAGCTCCCCAGAGCCAGAGGGGGAACAGACAGCAGCTGCAGAACTCATCATGGAAGTTCCTCTGAACAACATGACCTCTGTTCAAAGTCTGCCTCTTTCATTTTCTAATTTTTACTGTGAAAATCATAGATGAAATTTACGAGTTCTGCAGTTAGCTTTGTATCTTCCTGATGATGGTTTCATGGTACAATAATAATAATTTTAAAAAAATCAACAGAAAGAAGCTTGAATGTTCTACTTCATTCATGGAAAAAAGTGTGAAAAATACAAATTACACAACCAGTATAAATTTCATGTTTCCTAGTAATCACAGTTTCATACCAATCTGTTGGTAAAAAATTAAAGGCGCTGAAAATGGTTTAGTTTTAAGTTAGATCTATCCTCAGCCAACAGGTGGCAGTGTCTTCACAGTTTGATGACGGTTTTTTCCCCTTCTTCCAGAGGAGTGAAGTAAATGAAATGTGCAGACACAGGATCGTGCCCTGCCACCAGACCAACTCCACTGCTCTGTCATGTCAGCAAGTGAAACATGATGCTTACCAAGACATCATCACCCTGTGCCTGTTTCTACATACAGCACATGACATTTAAATATTCACTTCACTAGTGCTTTTTCCCCCTTTCTTTTTTCTTTTGGGTGGCACAGAGGCACTAACCACCGCTAGAAGGTTGTGGGTTTGAGCCTGGGCCAACCTGGGGCCTTTCTCTGCACGTTCTCCCTGTGCCTGTGTAGATTCTCTCCGAGTACTCCAGCTTCCTCCCACACTGCAAAGACCTGCATCTTAGGTTGGTTGGAGACTCTAAATTGCCCCTAGGAATGAGTGTGAGTGTCTGTGTGTGTGGTTGTACTGTATGTCTACATGTCGGCGCTGTGATAGACTGGTGACCTGTCCAGGGTGGACCCGCCTCTCGCCCAATGTCATGTATCTGCACCAATCTGAATAGTACTAATTCCTTTGTGACTTAAACGTTTTCTTAAATAAACTCTGAAATGTGTTACTTACCCAGGATGTTAGAAACATAGCTCTATTATTCTTTATCCTCTCACTGCAAACCTCCTAATGGCTCTCTCATGTTTGAGGCCTACCAGCTCTGGAGCTTGAGGTGAAAATGTTTTGTTGAGTTCTTTTAGGGCTAACTGGGATTAGTATAACACTCATGGTGACCTAACTACACAGATTTAGCATTCACTTCTTAATCTGGCCTCCATGTCAAATAAAACAACAACCCGCTACAGTGCAAGGGATGGATTAGCAGAATAGAGTATGCATTGAGAGCATGTTTAATTCCTCATGTATCAAGAGAACGCCCATAGCTATTTATCTAGTATATCCTATGGCTAATGATAGCACAGGGTGCATGCACTATGACAAGCTGTAAAGGGATTATCAACATAAAAACATGGCATATTTACTAAATAGAGCAAGGAATTACCACACAACTGTACCCTGAAATACTTATCTACAGTCTACAGTGCTAAAAATCTCAGGCCTGTCCATTGTTGTCTTCTAGTTTTTAATATTTTCAGGAAAAACTGCACAAAATATCAGAGTAACAACAAACTAGGTGGCTAATTTTACCCATATGTCCTTCTAAAGCTGCAGCAGCACTAAAAGGATAGTAACAATTTACTCATCCATCTTTCGCTGCCTGCATACATGCGTCAGTACTGGTGCACAGTACACAAGCAGGGAAGTTGACCAGTCATGCGGTTGTGTGCTGTCGCCCCCTTACCTTGGCTGCACTGATCTGTTCTTTTCTGAACCGTTCCAGAGGTATTATCAGCACATCGCTGGCATTCTCAATCTGGAGGGCGCACACACACACACACACACACACACACACACAGTGTCACTGACTAGGAAGTATACATTACTGTATTACTGACATATTGTACATTACGGTGGTTACTCATGTTATTTTCAGTTAAATTATAATGACTACTAATATTACCTTCTGTAAAACGGCAAACAACGTTCAACACAACTACCTGGGTCACACAAATCCTATTAATTTATTTACTGTGCATATTATAAGATTCCAGACAAAATTATTCATCATATTCTAAAAATAAATGACTTGTCTCCGGAGTCCATCTGCAGTATTATATGTCTTATAAAGCTGTTGGGTCACTCACCATCCGTGTCCTCTCATCCTCCAGGTTCTGTAAGACTGCTGCAAACTCCTGAAGAGACTTGGCTAAGGGCCACATTGGTAGACGGGGAAATTAAGAAAAGTCATAAGAGACAAGACACAACTGGACAAACACAGAGAGTGTTGGCATGAGGCAGCAGTGAGGAACACTTTTTCTTTATACCCTTGGAGCTTGTTTTCTCACTCGCTGGCAAATGAGGCACAACTACATTGTTTTGGGTCAAAAGTTCCAGTCAGACTGCCTCTGTCCTTGTTTAACACTTCGCACACACATCATTCTTCATACACAGTGAGTGCACAAACATAGTGAGGATATACAGCATGTGCACTGGCATGCTAAACAAAATTACACATGAATACAAATAGATCGTAGAGCCTCAGAACCCAGCCTGGAAGTTGATCTGGTTATAACAGAGAAGAACCTCAGGACTTTGCAAGAAATGCATTAAAACACAGCATATCCCTTTAATAAAGCTCATAAAACACAATCAGTTCTTTCAAATTAAGTATATGTTGTTAATCAGTCACACAGAATAATACGACACCACAAGAAGGAATCACAGTGAGATTCTGCTTTGAACTAGTAAAGGTTTTTCTATTTTCACAACCAGGAATAAAAGCAATTTCCTTTTAAACTGAGATTATGTACATCAGCTTGGAGAGACATAATTATTGTATCACAGAGACAAAAGTGAGTTATGACATGAGTAGGACTATGAATATCAGAAAAACAGCAGTGCCCTGGTGCAGCCCAGCTGGGCAGCAAGCTGTTCAGGAAAGATAGCTAGGGGATAGTTAAACAACAGTAGTGGGTGGGTCAGGCCAGTGAAGAGCTGCAGCCTGCACAGACAGAGCCAGGCAGCACGAGAGGGTGTGGTGACCACTGCATGTTTCTCAGCGGGTCGTCTAGAGAAAAACGAGCTCTGTGAGGCCTGGATGAGCTCATGGATTTAAGAATTCTCATGTACACCAATATGTGTTTGGGTCAGCATGAGCAGCAGACAAGTGAGATATTCAGAGCATGAGGAACCATTGTAATCATCATCAAATCTTATGTAAATCACATTTTTGATGAAACTTATGGACAAGAGGCCAATGAAGATAAAGGAAGTTGGGCTTTTGCACAGTGCAACTTGGCTTCACCCTCTGTATTCTGTCCAAATCCAGTGAAAGGTTCATTTTCATGATACACTTTATAATATATTAAACATTGCTATGCTCTGGATTTTCCAACATGAAAGATGAATAGTGGCCACTAAAGATATTAAAACACTACATTTCCACTCAAATGATCGCAGTGTTTTGGTGTTTTCACAGTTATCCAATGAATTCTGCTTTAACTATTAAAAAACAAGTTTTTATTCTAATACGTATATAAAGCAGTTTCACAAAAGAGGGATAATTAGAGAGTGTTTATCTGAAAATCAAGCCGCTTCTTTACATCAGGGACTAGAAATGACAGAGCACCATCTACTGTACAAGCTTTCCTCTGCCAGGACAGTGAATGTATTGCATTTCATATCAGCAGGCTTACCTATGCAGATCTCATCATCCGTCACGGCGTCTCCAATACACTGAAATTTAAACTCATTGAGAGAATCAGCAAACTTCCTTTTCGCTGTTGACAGACCTGAAAGAAAGAAGAGAAAAGACAAAGGTCGTTAGGTTTACTGATGTTTTATTTTATTAATGAGGACTCTTTAGGGATAGTGCAATACACCCATGTAAAAGAAAACAATATAGCACTTTTGAAGCAATTACTGAAAGTGAGAGCCAGTGGAAAAAGCCTGAACGAAGAACAGCAGATCCTGTGAGTGAATCCCCTGTGGCACTAGTGATGAAAGTTAACCACTCCTAAATTTCTATGGAGGTTTGAGCATCCACGTGTATGCTAAAAAGTACCAAAAGTTCCTTTAAACTTAGCCAAGTGAGGCAGTGAAAAGCCTTGGACTAATGAATGCCTTCCAAATAATACACTAGGCTGCTAAGGGCCCCTAGGAGACAGACACTCACAGCCAGTTTGCAATTTATATTTTTATTTTCTAATTGCACATATTTCACAACAATATATATAATGTATATATAAAAGTCTTCAAAAATACACAACACACAAAGAGAGGAACTAAAGAAAGGAAAAATAAAATGGGAGGAATCATAAGGAATCTAATTAAACTTCTGAGTATTCATAAAGAATACTTAAAAAGAGGAAGGGGGGGTCAATCCATTATTATTATCTGGGGCAGCAAAATAAAAAAATAAGTAAGTTAAAAAACTGTTTGTGTGTATGCATGCAGACACACACACACACACACACACACACGCACAAGATGACACCCTCTTGCTTCTTGTCTTGGACATGATAATGCACCACGCTAAATATCCCTTGAGGTCAGATAAATAGATCGGCAGACGTCTCCAAAAAGTTCCGATTTATTGCTGTGGTTCCTCCATGAAACACGTCTAGGCAGCCATGCTGTTCATGTCACTGCCAGTTTGGCTTCTTGTCCATTTACACTCAAGACAGGGTCACCTCCAAAACCTTCTTCCTGTTGTTGGGCTGGTGAAGGTCAGCCACATACACAGGATCAGCATAAATGTGGGTAAGAACAGAGGGAAAGACAAAGGGAGAGACACTTTCTCACAGCTTTTTAGAAACTACAGATAGGAACAAGAGTAACAGTAGGATGTAGTCAATCTCAGCAGGTACACCCCAGTTTTCCCAAACAGAGAAGGACAGAAACGCCACTAACACCACACTGTATTTCACTGTATTTCTGTGGTGTTTTCTAAACTGTGGATGGAACTTAAAATGAAATCCAGACAAAGATACAGAGCCTCATGGAAAGACAGATGGGAGTCAGGAAAAGGACAGTGAGTGTAGGGAGCGAAGACAAAACGTAATTGGCCATGTTCGAATAAATACCACAGGTCCTCCAAGTAGAGATCTGTGTGTGTGTGTGTGTGTGTGTGTGTGTTTGTGTGCACGTTCGGAAAGATCTGCTGGAGCTTGCCAGTCAGAAAAATGAAACACAGGCCTAGCAGCTCCTGCATGTGCTGCCAGAAACACACTCATGCTGGCACACAAACACATACAACCCTCTCTCTCCCTCTCAGAAAAACACTGTAGGATGTCAGTTACCAGTGAGTCACAGTGGCTCCGTAGCATCAAAATAACTAAAGTATGACCAAAATGAGACCACGCTCCAAGCTTAAAGGATAAACTGTGGTTTTAAAGTACCAATGTAAAGTAAAGAAAAAAAAAACTTTCATTCAGTCCCATTACTCCAAGATTGGCACTTTATAATAAAACGAAACCTGTAGCAAAGCTGGAGGGCAAAAATAAAAATCCAGTGGGATACACACAATGTGAACTGAGCTGGAAATGGACAATGGATGTACCATTCTTTCACTGGATTGAAAAAGGGAAGGACTTCTAAGCAGCTTGGTGATGTTGGCATAAATACCATTGTAGCCTTGACGTGATGATGGCAAAGGCATCACTGCACACAAGGCAAAGAGTCTGCAAGGGGTCTGCACAGGTTTTCACTCATGTATGGTGTCGTTCTCCACTGCAGAGCAAAAGAATTTTAGTTTTGAGACAGAATGGAGTTTTTGTTTCAAAGCATGCTGCTGTGGGTGCACCCGTAACTTTGAAAGCCAGAAACCTCAACACCTGGGAAAGTCATCGGTGACATACTATGGTGACTCAACTAGCTCAGCAATGAAAGCTCTGCAAACATCACGGTCCTGTTGTACTGCAGGACAAAAAAAATCTCACATGTTAATAATGAATTGAAACAGATGGTTTGTTTGAAGGGAAAACGCTGATGAAAAAACAATCATTATTTTGTACATTTTTTGAAGCACACGTGCAGCGTTTAAGTGATTAAACACATGAGCTTATAATGACTCACATAGTTTATAACGGTATGCATCATAACCACACACTCATTTTGGGTGGAGGATCATTTTATAATCAAAGCCAGGAACAATACATACTGGAAAATGATGCTACGCTGACAACAGTTATGAGGTATAAACCGCATTATTGACAGGATCCGACGCCACCAAAGTGCTTTGTTTCCTCATATTTGTCATCCACCATTTACTTTTGCATCTTTGGTTCAGTTCTGTTCATTTGCTCTGGTAGCATGAGTGTATTATTTTCAGCGTGGGTGGCCTCGTGCTGTTTGTTCACTGACCTACACAAAACTCTTTTCACACGGTCCATGTCACTCTTGACTTTTACTCTGACTTGTTCTCCGTCTCAGCACCTTGTGAGTGGAACGTGCCTGCCAGTGACCATTTCTTCAGTTTGGCTCCGGCCACACACCTAGTGCTCTCATGGACCAAACTACAGACCAAGGGGGAAGTAACCCTGGTTTCTTTACTCCCGACTCCCCATCGAATTCAGAATTCAGATTAAAATTCTTGTGATTACTCTTAGAGCACCTGCCTACATTAGAGCTCTACTACAACCTCATGTCACCAGTAGCTCTCCAAGGTCCTCTGACCAGGGTCTGTTGGTTGTTCTACTGATGGAGACTCTGCAAAGACATTACTAAAGTTATCTCATTATGCATCTCAAAAACACCTCTCAAATTTTAATTACACACAACAACAGGAACAAACTGAGCTGAGTCTTAGTTGACCAAATTTCAAGTTAATTAAAGAAATGTCTTTGATTTAGTGTGATGTTCAAATTTACGTGCTTGTTTAAAACGAATGAAGTACACCTTAAGCAGAGCACTACATGTATTTAAAAGATTCTGCCTGGTGTGAGTGCTCCCTTTACCGCAGAGGCACGTTAGGCTAACATTAAGAAGTACAGCACCCACCACTGATTATACAAAAGTAAAATAAGCCTAACAAAAATGCTTTAAAACCCCTCATTAGCCATTACAACAGGTTTCTATGTGCAGCAGATTAAATAATATAACTTGTGCTTAAAGATCACAGTATTAAAGTGGAAAGGGATATTCTTCTGTTCCTTATATGATGACTTTAGAATATTAGTTTCACAATATGGCTCAACAAACCCTCAGATAATCTGGTGTTACGATCAAAAATTTGTGCAGTTGTCATGCCCTACATTTAGCCAAAGTTGTCTTAAAATCTTGACACAATATACCTTTAAGATGGATGATTAAGTCTTCAGTTTTATTTTCCTATATTAGTAATGCTATACTCACAACGATTTTATGTCATTTTAAAAAGGTGTTATCCTGGATGTGGAATAGATTCGTTTGCGGTGACTTCTTGTAAGGCGGCAAATTCCAAACTATTTGTCCATTGTTCAGTTCATTGCATTTATTCAGCAAGAGCAATTAAACTGCTGCAGTGTACGCTGGAACAATTATGACATTAACGTTCATTAGTTTGACAGTGTTGTTAACAAAAAATACATTTTCAGCTTTGACAAGGTCCGTTTTGCAGGCTATTTACATACCACAAGCAATTCCACTGTTTATCTCCATTAGTCTCAGACCCCTGATGACTGAAGTATGATTTATTCTGCTTTGGAAACAATGACTTCAGGTTGCATCACTCAAAACTGCAATGAAAAACAAACTTGCCGGTAAGCAGTTCTATTCAGCTTGCTAACCCTGGAAGAATGTCTCATTGCGCATTTTGGCAAACAATATGGTGAGGTAACAAGACTTTTTTTTTTTTTTCCTGGCTCGTTACATGGGAGTACATCATGCATTTCATATCACACCCAACACTGTGTTTTCAACAGGGACACACTCACACACAAGCAAACACACATACATCTGTATACATGCCAGTCCAAAACAAAGAGAATATCTACTTCATTTATGGTAGCTGAGTCACAAGTTCAAGCCCCTGGAGTGGTTAAAGGAAAATGCTGATGTGTCCACTACCATCCCCTGAACATAATAATGTCTGCATGACCCGCTGTAATGGGGATAATGAAGGTGCTCTGTTACTGCCGTGACATTTAGCAGTTTAAGTGTGGAAGGTCATCACATATTTTTGATCAGTGTCACATGGACATTTCATAAAGGGTTTGTCATCTGTGGAAAATTCTACTGTGGGACTCCTGTCAGTCACACGTCCTGTCCACAATTCAACAATGACATCTGGAAGATAGTGGCTTGGATACTGCTGGAATGAGGCATGCTAAAACTCACAGACACAACTGTAAGTTACACAAAAGAAATCTGTAATAAACCTCAACCATGCAGCAGCACTGCACAACGGCTGCTATGTGTCTTAACTCAAAAACACACACACACACACAGTTGAAAGAAAAGGCCTGTGTGATATCAACAGGATATCGGCAGTAGCTTGGACTCTGCAGTAGCTTTGTTCCACAAGCATATGAATAGAAACCTTATTCATCACGCGGGACAAACGCACACATTACACACACATATACGCTATTCATTTGTAGAGACAAAGACAGATTTCATTCTCCTCATCTCTTTACATGATCCAGCAGCCAAGCAAAGAGAGGAATTTGTGGACTCAATGATATAGTGAAAGCCTAAGATCATACTACAGTACATACTGCACATATACAAAAACATTTATTTTGTAAAAATATCATTTCTAATTCTTCTGATCTTTAAGAAATGAATAGCCCAGTATATATCATGTATCATG